AGGTGTACATGTCCAACTGGCAGTTGTCATCTGACCTTGACCTCATTTTCATGGTTCAATGATTAAAGTTTAATTTTTGTGTTTTGGTCTGTTTTCTAATACTGTATACAATAGGTCTACTATACTTGGTGTATGGAATGATTGTAAGGAGTACATGTCCAGCTGGAAGTTGTCATCGGACCTTGACCTCAATTTTTCCGGTTCAATGGTTAAAGTTAAGTTTTTTGTTTTGGTATGTTTTTTTAATACTGTATGCAAATAGGTCAACTATATTTGGTGTATGGAAATAATTTATGATGTACATGTCAGTCTGTCAGGTTTCTTTTGATTTTGACCTCATTTTCACGGTTCATTGCTCAGTGTTAAGTATTTATGTTTTGGCTTGTTCTTAAACTATAAGCAGTACTCGGGTTAACTATATTTGGTGTATGAAATGATTGTTAGGTGAATATGTCTGTCTGGCAGGTATCATCTGACCTTGACCTCATTTTCATGGTTCATTGGTCAATGTTAAGTTTCCTGTTTAAGTTTGTTTCAAAGAAACTGTAAGCAATAGGTCAACTATATTTGGTGTATGGAATGATTGTAAGGTGTACATGTATTTCTGGTTTGGTTTATCTGACTTTAATCTAATTTTCTTGGATCATGTCAACATTATGTGATACTTGTATTATATTTAAGACTATCAACATAAAATCAATGGTCAGTAAAGAAGGCAAGACATTTCAGCGTGTGCACTCTTGTTGTTATCAAGCCTTAAATTTTATTGGCAAACATTTATTCTCGGCTGTATTAAATGTAAAGTGCATGTTATTGACATACAAATTCCTAAAAATGGGGGGTTATATGCAGTTCCACAGAGGTTGTAAATTTCACAATAAACGAAAGAAAACAAAGAAATTCCTTGCTCCCTAACAATATGCATGAAACTTGTTTAATGTGCTTCAAGCAGGAAAAATTGCAATCATATGATTATAAATGACAGTTTACCATGGCCACCATCAAAGAAGATCCCAATATGCAGAAAACAGGGACATTGGTTTTGTTCTTATTCTAGGTAACACTACTTTTGATATCAAAAAGATTTAAACGGAAAAAGTTATCACATTTAATTTGTAAGAAATCTTAATTGTTTATTTTTTATAGATTCTTATTTAATATACATGTATAAAGATATATAAGATATCTTATTTAATATATGAGATATCTTATTTGATATATAAGATATCTTATTTGATATATAAGATATCTTATTTTACAAATAAGATATCTTATTTTACAAATAAGATATCTTACTTTATATATGTAGGACTCAAATATATGGTGGGTTCCAGATCTATGGCAGATTCCTAATCTATGGTAAATATGATGTCATGCCATCCCCAATCTATGGCAGATTTTTTTAAATTATCTTAATATATGGCAAGTTTTGTAATTTCCTAATCTATGGCGGATTTTTGTTGTTTCCAAATCTATGGCCGATTTTGTGCAAATGTAGAGCAAGGCAGTACATATACAATCACTGACTTGTCTTAAATAAGTTGAAATGTACGACAACGGGAGCATGTCTATAAACATTTGTGAAATAAAAATTCCATAATGGTCAACCAAATCGTGATGTCAACCATAAAAAAGTGTAGAAGTGATATATACCATAATACAGAAATCAGGATTAAAATGATCTTCCTCGCAAAAATAAGCATTTCCTAATATGTGCATGGTACCTGTTAAATCCATTAATTAAAACATCTAGAAAAATGGAAGTCCCTTAACAAACAAGAAAGCAGTTTTTTTATAAAAAACAATTAAAACAGTTTGACTTTTCACATAATATTTATTTCAGCGTTAATCAATCTTTTTTAACTGGTGACGATTTAAGTCAAGGTGGTATCCTGTAATTTCATTTTCTCACTTTGAATACTTTGCCAGCCGTAGAAGCTAAAATATTTACTATAAGTCCATTCCCAAAATATCCACTACTAAAAACAGCTGTGCCTTTCTTGATCGCGGGATTCGGACGGTACAATAATTAGTGTCCCTCCTATGGATAAAAGATCACATCTTCAATTAAACATATGGATAAAAGATCACATCTTCATTTTAACATATGGATAAAAGATCACATCTTCATTTAAACCATCGGCAAATTGTTCTAGAGGGAAAGCGGAGGGGGTCTTTTTGAATATTTTAAAAACAGGACTTCAGGAAAGTTTGGAGAGCCAACAACTTTACTGTCGGCGACGACTTATATGGCGTTATTTTATTTTGACGTTATATGTTACTCTTTCCCCCGGAAAATTAAGTAATTCCTAAATCTGCCATAGATTTGGAGAAAACAAAAATCTGCCATAGATTTGATTTGTTTGGGGTTTGTAACGTCATATTTGCCATAGATAAGGAATCTGCCATAGATTTGGAACCCGCCATAGATTTGAGTCCTACATATATAAGATATCTTATTCATAATATATAAGATATCTTATTCAATATATAAGATATCTAATTTGATATATAATATTATATTAAAGATATCTTATTTAATATATATGATATCATATTTAATATATAAGTTGTCTTATTTAATATATAAGATATGTTATTTAATATATAAGATATCTTATTAATACTATATAAGATATTTTATTTAAAATGAAATATATCTTTATAAGTCTATCTAATTAAGTTTATAAGATATTTTATTGAGCATATAGGATATTTTATATTAAAGAAAGTGGGGGCTCAATTGAACTGTATGGTCATCAAACTTATTTTTGTCACATTTTTATCAATGCTTGCACACTAAATGATAATAAGTGCACCAGGCAATTGAATGCTTCTAATATATATAGTCTTTCATTGATTTCTAAAACTGTCACCTGTCAGATCAAATCAGGTAAAACTTTTTAATTAAATCCCAAGTTTAACTTAAATTTCTTTCAAGAGGTTGTTAATAGGTGAAAGTTTGGGCTAACATTTCCATCTACTTTAAAATGCCTCCATCGTCTGTTCAATCATACATGAGAATCTGTGTTTCAGTTGGATTTGAATAGGACAACGAAGGCATCAAAAGATAAAAAAAAATTGTATTGTCAATCTTATTTCAATTTGTTTTCGGTTAATCTAGAAATTCAAATTTAAGAAATTATTATAAAGAATTAAAAATATTTTATGAAATTCCAGTGGGGGAAAAAATTCTGTGTTTTTCCTAACAGAATTCAGCAGCCAGAAATATTATCAGGAATTAAACAATTGTCAACAAACCAACATGATACAAAAATTAGGGTATGTTTCAAATTTCTTAAAGCAGTCACTTTGCTGGCATGGTCATATTTGATCTAAATTTTTTATAAACAAACTTTTAATGGTTAACATATACCCCTCTTTCATTCTATCCAAATATGACAAAAACTGTTTTTGTTAGCTTATTTTTATTATATTTTGATGCTGTTTTTCATCACGATCCTTCCATAATTATCACCTGCATCAAAGTCAACAGATACTATGTACAGTAACTGTTTTTTAAGATATGTCATATTTCCAATAGCTTGAAAAAAAGGTAAAATCACAAAAATATTGAACTCTGAGGAAATTTCAAAACGGAAAGTCCCTAATGAAATGGTAAAATCAAAAGCTCAAACACATCAAACATTAACTTATGATACAAGATATCTCATAAACCATACTTTAGGACTCCAAAAAATCTTATTTATTAATGGCTGATTGTAAAGTTATTATTCATAAACACTTTTTAATACAGCTAACATGTCTGTAGCGCGACTAATCTCAAGGCATACTAATTCAGGTCTCAGATTGTCATTTCTAATACACCTATCTGCTTTCTGGATAACATCACGAATATTAATTAATAGACTCTTCTCATCTGCCATTTTGAAAGTGCGATCACATGATCTAGATATTTACTACTGCGTAGTTCCAAAAGGAGCAGAATCATTGTTGAATTTATTTACTTATGTTATTTAATTTAAAATAAGATATCTTATATAGCTTATAAGATATCTTGTATAGCTTATAAGATATCTTATATAGTTAATAAGATATCTAATGAAGTTAAAAGGATGTCTTATATACTTTCAAAGATATCTTATAAAATAAATAAGATATCTTATTAACTTCAAATTAAATAAGATATCTTATAAACATCATAAGATATCTTATATACTTTATAAGATATCTTATTAACTTGATAAGATATCTTGAAATTGAACAGATATAAAAACAGCTTACCATAGAAAGATACCAAAGGGACATTCAAACTCATAAGTCATAAATAAACTGACAATGCCATGGCTGAAAAAGAAAAAAAAATACAACAGACAAACAGCAGTGCAAATAACACAACATAGAAAATTGAAGATTTAGCAATTTGAACCCCACAAAAAACTGGGAATGATCTCAGGTGCTCCAGAAGGGTAAGCAGAACCTGCTCAGCATGTGGCACCGGTGATAAATCTAAATTGGTTAGTCAGTTCTATCAAAGTCTATGAAAACAAATAGGTTTTAGAAGACATGTAAATACATTAATGAAATCTCATTTTATCAATCTTTGGCGAAAGCAAAAAGTGTCATGAATTTTTTAGATGGCAAACTGTGTCATACTTCAAGTTTAAACAAAACCTTGGATTTGAAAATTATTTAACAAATATAAAAGATTTTGGGAGGCTAAATTCACCAGATTCAGAATATCAGCTCATACTCTTGACTTCAAATAAGGTTAAGGGAGATATCAAGGTATTATCAGGTTAAAAAGACTGTGTAATCATTGCTCATCTGGCATGGCAGCAGATGAAATTTTTTTTTTGACTTGTACAAAGTATTTAGTTGAGCGTTGTAATCTCATCAATGCTATCAGTTTACAACTTCCAAGTTTTACACAACAACATGTATATGAGTATGATTACACTCATTTACAGTTGCTATTCATAATAACAGCATGCTTTTAAATTAGAAACATTCTTTTTATGCTTTATTTTATCTTTAAGCCTCTTGAACAGAAAGAAATGGAAGAAGAATTATACGATTATGATGAGGATCTCGATGAAAAGGTAGGCATGTGCAGTATGTATCAATTGTCTATCCTTTGAAGTTCAAAGTGAATAAATATGTTTATGATTACCAATTCGCTTGGCTATGATAATAACATTAGCGGTACCAATTTTGCTCCACCAGATGTGCATTTCAACAATAAATGTCACTTTAGGCAGTGATGCTCGTTGTCAACATTTTTGAAAAATCAAACCCTAATACAAACATTTAAGAGCTGATAAATCCATAAAAAAAAACCTACAGTAAAGTAAAATCTGGGCAAGGAATCAGAGCTTTACATGAGGGAGATTTTTCCTTAATTTAAAATGATTTTAAAAGTTTTACAACACCAAATTTTAATTAACTAATATCTGTATTTTAATGTTAGTACCGAAGTACTTAGCCAAATTACTTTGTCATTATATATTAAAGAATAAGCATATAATTGGCAAAAAATAGGAGAAATAGATTGATTGATTGGTGAACACTATTGTGTTATTTCTTGGTGGTTAGTTTTTATTGGTGGAGAAAGCTGGAGTGCCCAGAGGAACCACTGACTGATTGGATTCAAGTGCACCTGCCACATGCAGGCCGGATTCAAAGTCAAAACCTCAGAACCTCAGAGTTGACAGACTAGTGATATTGAAGTGTGACTACTAGACCACTCAGCCACCATTAAATAAATAGAGAAAAATGACCTTAAATTTAAAGAATTAAGAAATAAAGATCCCCCATCTAGACCTTCTTATATGAAATCATTATCTCAGATAGAAAATAATGAAAATAAATTGCTAGGAGATTGTCAAAAAAGAACTCAAGGCAAAAAAATGTACTGTTCAACTTCAACTTCAGAAACAAATTTGGTTTACAGTAATTTTTAAACCTTGAAGCTCATAATAAAATTGATGCAAATTTACCAAATCTGTGTAACAATTTTTTTATAATTTATTTTCTAGCCTTTTGTCAATGAAGAAGATGAAGAAGATGGATCAGCTGTTATAGGGGATGAAAAAAGAGTAGGCAACATGTATTTTACAGAATTTCTTGGTCCGGTCTAACTTATTCATTGTTTTGTGATTTATATTTCCTGTCTTTCTTCTTAAATACATGGGATGTTATATTACCGTTTAATTTTTATACCCCTCCTTTTATAGTAGGGGAATTTTTAATTGTTTATCCTTCTGTCCTTTACTCCATTCTATATTTGGTTAAAGACTTTGGTTCGGATAGTATTCCATGAAGTTGTGGATACTGCAGCTTGAAAATTAGTGCAGTGTGATTATTGAAAATTATATGCCAGATTTGATTCATGATTCACTGAACAAATAAGAAATACTCTGGGGTTTCAGTATTAAAGCAACTATAAGCTTCAGTTTTTGAGTGTTTGTATTTGCCTTCATGCTGGATATTTTTTTCTTTCTAAACAACTGTTAGAGGTTTATGAATGAGCTTTTGTCTATTTGATCACTGTTTGGGTACAACATTTGTACATATTTTAGGTATTTTCTAGGTTTTGTTGTTTATTTTAGATAAAGAAATCTTTAGTAAAAGTAATGATTCTTGGAGGCATTGGGTAGGTAAAAAATTACTTTTTTATAACATGTTTTAAGTATTATATTTATAGTTTTTAGTAATTGAAAAGTGATACCAAGATGGACAATTAATGACATTTGGCTGTGTTAGGCCTAATTTGTCTTATTAAGAAAGGTCTGTTAAACAATACAGAAGTTAAAAAAGAAAAATGGAAAAAGCTGTGAGGTAAATGCAGATTCGACATCATCCATAACCAAGTCACACATAAAATTTATTTCATAAAATTTTGAATCCTCAGATTAGAATAGATATATGTGTCTCAAATTTATGGGAATGTATTTATATTAGATATCAAATACGTTGAATATATTCATTTATGATAAATATTTCTCTGCCCAAGGATTTGTATTAATTTTAGACTTTGATTATATATCGACGAGGTATTACCCTTGTCTAGATCGAGCCATTGTCAAAAAAGTGTTTCTGTTTATCTATATAACTATGACATCCCTTTTGTTAGAGACCTTAAAGCTTAGTGAGAATTTCTATATATTATTGCATTTAAAAGGATTTTATATAAAATTCTTATAATAAATAGTTATTTCTGAACATATTTTTAGTGTTGGTAAAACCTCTTTAATGAATCAGTACTCAGATGGTACATTTGATGAAAAATACAAAGTTACAATTGGAGCTGATTTTGTTGTGAAAAAAATTACAAAAGATACTGAGCATTTAACATTACAGGTATTAAATTATTTTTTCATGTAAGAAAAAGATTGCATTCATGGAGTTATCTTCCTTTGTCAATAATTTTAGTTGAACCAACTTAATACAATGCAATTTTTGAATTATAGCTTCCCCTATAAAATGAATGCAATCTTTACCCTTCAGTTGTCACAAGCGTTTTTAGTAAAATAGTTTGGAAAATGTGTATTATCCAAATTGATAATGAGTTTGTAAGTAATTAAAAGCTTTACAAGATATTTCTCTGTTCCCTCTCTAAAAGAGAAGAGGTCAAAGGTGTTACTAAAAAACTCATTAATCGAATACAAAATAACAATGCCTTGGCAAAAAATGAGAAGACAAATAACAGTACATAAAAGACATCATAGAAAACTAAAGACTGAGCAACACCTACCCCACCAAAAACTAGTTGTAAAACTGATCCTGCTCCACATGTTGCACCCATAGTGTTGCTTGTGAAAGTACAAACCCAGTGATAAGACTTATATGGTAGGTCACATTTGAGGAAAAGAAATAACTAACTTACATGGCAGATTGGTCTCTTGTGAAGAGTTGTCTCATTGGAAATTATACATATACACTCCTCCCAAGGTTTGAGAGAGGTTGCAGCACTCACAAACATATTAAACCTTGTTTCCAATAGTAACATGATTCCAGTTGTTGTTGTTAGGGTTATTCCATTAAAATCTATGTGGGAAGGAAGGAAGGGACTTTCAAAATATCCCTACCACCAAGAACCATTTTTTGATAATTTTGCATAATGGTTATAGACGCATACTGAAAAAAGACCCATGGCCCACATTCAATAATTAAACTTCCCTTTCTCCCCTCCCACAAACATTTTAATGGAATAGCCCTTAGTTGTTGAATTGGTTGTTGTCTGCCATATTTGGATTTAGTCCAGTGTTGTTTTATGATTCAAACCATTGATTTTTTTCTTCTGAGTTATTTTACATTTTGTCAAGCCTTTAATTACTGGTTTTTAATTTTTCTTCAATGCAAATCTTTAACTTCTTGAATTTGGGTAAAGAATTCACTCTTGCTTATATGACTTATATATACATATCATTACTTATATAAATTGCATGTATACTTGTATAACAGATTTGGGATACAGTAAGTCAAGACAAATTCCGTACTTTAGGACTAAGTTTTTACCGAGGAACAGACTGTGCTTTGTTAGTGTATGATGTTACGCAGCCAGAGACGTTTAAACATCTTGAATCAGTCCTTGAGGAGTTTTTGACCAATGCTTATCCAGAAGACGAACACAATTTCCCATACATAGTCATTGGGAATAAGATAGATAAAGAAAATAGATTGGTATAATTACAGTAATAAATTTGAAATTTAAGTTTTAACATAATGTTTAATGTTTGGGGTAGGGGTATATGAGGGTAGAGAAGCCGTCAGGCGTCAAATGGTCATTTTTGGCTACCGTAAGCGTCAAATTGGTTAAAATTTTACCGTGATTCCTCAGAGCCTCAAATAAATATTTTGTTACTGTTATTTTTGGAAAAAAATTAACGTGATTCGTCAAAATAAGATTTTTTTTAATGTCTTAAAGAAAGTGTACATTTTATCTTCATGCGCCAAAAATTACTATTAACGTCATTTAATAAGATTTTTTACCGTTATTTATCATGAAGGTACCCCCATTACGACCCTCGAATATTGGTTACCATTTCTAGCTAGTGGGTCAATTAGGGACAATACTTACTTACCTCAATGGTCTCATTTCAGGGAGTATCTGTGTCCAGCACATATTTGTGTCAAAGTAATTTCGAATTTAATAGGTAACTAGGTATCAGATTGTCTAGAATTGACGATACTGGTAGAAGATAGTTATTTAGTACAAAATAGAATAATATCATATCAACAAATGTTTCAGCTAAACAAAAGCCCCTTAACAGTGTCAACTTTTTTTCTTCAAAATTCAATATTTTTTTTGTGTAAAACAATATGAGAAGGGCATTGCATTTGCACCAAATAAAAAAATGTAGTCTTTAATTTGCGCATTAAAGGTTATATTTCATTTGCCCCATAAAATAAATACTGCTATTACACCATTTTACAGGTAATATATATGACAAAAAAGTTATTCATACATTGTATCCTGAATTTGCAGCTCATATAAGAAATAACACCCCCACCCCACTGGAAAATTATGTGATAGCGATTGTCTTTTAGGTATATTAAATTTAGTGTTCATATGTGTGAGGTGACATGATGAAGTTTTATTCAATTGGAGGAAATAAGACTTAATGTTTCATGACCACACATTTTTAGGTTTTCTAATGTATTAAAAAATGGAGACCAAATCTGTAGATTTTAACCAAGGGTTTAACAAAGGGTCCTTTATATATATTTACAATTATAACCAATGGTTTTGAAATTGATTCCTTGTTTTACATTAAACCAAGAGATAAACACCCTGGTCCTGAATGATAAATATCCAATCAATTAAATAACAGCTATATTTATAATGAATTGTTTTCATGTTTAGGTAACAAAAGAGGAAGCTATGAAATGGTGTAAAAAAAATGGAAATATTCCCTATATGGAAACCAGTGCTAAAGATGGAACCAATGTTGAAGAAGCCTTTATGTCATTAGTTGTAAGCATGTCAGGAACAGTGGTTGAATAATTAAGAGATTTCTATCTTATGAATGCAGTGTAAGTACAAGATCTGTGTTACTCAGCTTCTGGGATGTACAGTCAAACTTGTATATAAAGGTCATCCTCAGGACTTGAGAAAACTAACCTTACAAGGGTGGTCACCATATTCTCAATTTTATTTGAATTGAGGTCAAAATAGCATCGGTAATACTACAGCAGGGCTTTAAGTGTCACCTGACTAGACAACCATGTTCATGTCTAAAAGAGATAACCTTTATAGCATTTTTGACTGCACAATTATAGCAGAGATCATGAAATAAGCTCAGGAGTCTTTTTATACATATTATGAAACTATAATGACTATAATCAAACTAATATTGATGTGAAATTTGTAGTTGTCAAGCAGAAAATATTTTTAAATTACAATCTGAATTGTAAAATTTAAATATGAGCACAACTGCACCCATATTACTATATAAACTTGTTCTATGCAGCCTCTGCTTCAATTGTAATTTTGTCTGATTTGGCAAAGTATTAGAGTTACACAGTTCTTGAAATTTTGTCAGTACTTACTTTTACTTGCTCTTTGTGTGTTGCAAGAAATAAAACTTTTGGATATTCTCCATTTCCCTTCAAAGTCTTCCAATATGTAAGCACTGAATGTGTAGATAAAGGTACTATCTTTGGTTAACTTGCCTGCTATCTGAACCATGAAATCATTATTCGCTATGGTACATCCTTCTTTTGGGCAAGGTCAATAGTCAAGCAGAGAACCAATCAACAGTACATAAATATTGTGAAACCAGGTTTACAAGTTAGTTCAAAAATATGTTTTCAGGTTGTAGGTGTGTTTGATTTATCATTTTCATTTCACTATGTTCATTTATACTAGATTGTTTACATGTGTAATTCTATAGAACATTATGATTTAATCAATTTAAGAAAAAAACTTCATATCCTTATTATATATGTTTATAGTGAGAATAGTGGCCTAAAAATTAAAGAATACATAACTTAAAGTCCCTCTTTTTGATTTTGATGTGTATTTTGTTGAATTTAAAACAAATCATTTCAGTAGTTAAAAGCACAATTGTTTTTCTTTTCAGGACAAATATGTTCCTGTTCCTGCAGACATATCCTCAAACAATACTGTTTTATTTGCATAAATCATAAACTGAATTACCCAACAATAGAATGTAGGGTTCAAGCAGATCTGGGAATCACACTTATACATATACATCATTCACAAAGAGGAGATTTTAGAAAATCACAAATCGGTCCAGTCCTTCTTTCATTAATGGTATAAACATACAAAAGAACAATGCAATTCTTCCTTCTTTATACTGAATTAAAAAAAAACTTTCACAAATATCCTATTTATATTTAAGAACAATGAACAAAATTAAACCATAAAACAAGATCTTGTTTTACTAATCATTGTTAAAGCTCCCAGCATTCGAGCACACTTTAGCTACACTTTTGTTTCTCATAATCACACGTTTCATGCATGTCCTTGGCAACAAATAAATATCAACAAAGCATTATTTCACATTATAAAAGTTTTAACTTTTGAAATGTATGTCAAACAAGTTCAAACGAGTGAATTTAGCAATAAATATAATAAAACCCACATTATTTCCAGTACATATACCTGTAAGCAGATTTTCCTGAAATCACAACCTCGCAAATTTTTCTTTTTAAAAATTGCAATAATAAAGACATGTGATAATTTCTGAAGTTACAGTATATATCTACTTGTATTTTTATTTCCTTTTAAATGCCACTGGACGTTAAGCAACCAACAATCAATCAAACCTTTTTAATGTATAGTTCATCTTAATATGATCTTTAATCTTTTACACACATTGGTGAAACACCTTATTATATACAGATTTATTAGTACATTTATTAGAATGAAACTTGATATAATGCAAGTTATAACTTAGGGATGCTATAAAAATCACTTTAACTGAAGATTTCAGTCATCATATTGATGCCTTTTGGGGTTTAAAGATTGCATTCACGAAATCAAAACCCTTATGTTGCTAGCTTGATAGTTATTAATATTTCTACTTATAAGATTAAAAAAACAAAGTGCATTGAGCACAACATTCAATACATCCTATTCATGAACATAAGTCATTAACATAAGTAAAGCTTTAGAATTTAATAGAAATATACTCTTTTGTAATTTAAGTGATATAGTTATTCTTTTGTTAATATGTCTGAAAATGAAAAATTCAGTTTTATTTTGAAAAGCAATGATACTGACATTTGTACTGTATGTGAAGCTTGAACATGCAGTCATTTGAAATAAACAAAATGTTGTTAAGAACTGTTGTAGTATTAAAGTTTATTGTAATATCTAGTTAATATAGTATGAATAACACCTCCTCATAATGTAGATATAAAATGTGTCTCTTATCATTGGGAAAATATATGTCTCTGTATATTTTTCTATTTATTTTTGTTTATTTTTGTATTTGTATTTTGTAAATGTCAACTGGTATCATTCTTGTATTGGAATTTACACCAATAAAATTATTTTATTTTATTTGATTCATAAACTTACTATTATCACTGATCCATATAAATCAAGCCAATGTCATATGAACCCTGCTAGACCAACATGTACACCTTAAAGTAATTCCATACACCAAAAAAAGTTAAATAATTAATGGCTTATCGAAACAGACCTAACCACACAAGCTTTATATTGACCAATAAACCATGAAAATAAGGTCAAGGTCATATGATACCTGCCAGCTAGACATGTACAACTTGCAATCATTCCATACACCAAATATAGTTGGCCTGTTAATTAAAGTATTTCAGAAACAGACTTTACCAGGAAAACATAAAATTTGACCAATGAACCATGAAAATGAGGTGTAGGTCAGATGCACCCTGTCAGACAGATATGTACACCCTACAATCATTCCATACACCAATAGTTGACCTATTGCATATAATATCTGAGATAATGACCAACTTATGGAAACTTAATATTGAACAATACCATGAAAATGAGTTCAAGGTCAGATGATACACCTGTCAGACTGGCATGTACATTTTACTATAATTCCATACACCAAATAAAGTTGACCTTTTGCTCTGACACAATGTCTGAGAAACAGACCAAAACACAAAAACTGAACATTGACCAATGAACCATGAAAGTGAGGTCAAAGTTAGATTATACCTACCAAACAGACATGAACACATTATAATCATTCCATACGCCAAATATAGTTGACCTACTTCTTGTAGTACTAGTATCTGAGAAAATAATCACCTTACTTTAACCTTGATCACTGTTCACTGATCCATGCCATCTGCTCTATGTCTGGTGAACCCTTCTTCTTCTTCTTACGGAAGTCCACCCTATTTGAAGGGTCACAGCATTAAAAAATATTTTAGTTTATATTTTTGAAAATGCATTACTTTAAAAATTTGTTATTAGATTAAGATATTTTATCTGTGTTGGGGTAAAATAAAATAAAATAATAAGGATAAAAAGGATAAACGGTAAAACTTGTATATACACTGTACATAACAGACTGACATAAGCTCAAAACATTATATTTTTAAAATGGATAAAACTTTAATTACTATGTCAAAAGTGTCCAATAGTTTAAAAATAATTAATGTGATAAGGATTATTTATGTCAATAATGATAAAAAGTTTTAACAATCACGTGGGGTTCCATACATTAAATATATTGTTAAGATTTAAAATCTTGTCAAGGACCCAAGTTATTGGTTTCTATTAGTAAATATTGTTATTTATGTGTAAAATAGAATGCAGGGGTCCTATAGTTTATATATTTACTAACCAACAATAGGCTTAAGTCTCATAGAGTATTCAGATATTATCCTTAATTATTTCCATTCTCATGATTTAGTAGCCTGCTTTGTATATGATCCTATAAGGTTCCAAGAGTCAAAAATATATGTTCATTATATTTTACTGCAATAATTCCGCTCTCTTGGTATGCAATGCATATACACAGTCTTTGCATATCCTTTCTATAGCAACTAGGTGAGTCACAGGTATGCGACGTTTGTTGGAACAATCGACTAGTAATTGAAGCAGATCGTCTTCAGATTCAACGATGTAGTTGTAGTTGATCGGAAGTTCAGCCATCAAATGTTTAAGTCTGATATAGTGGATTTTTTTCACTGATTTAAGGATTATGCAGTTAATAAGAAAGTGCTTGTAATCTTTTGTTCCTTCCATACACAATTTGCACTCTGCAGATTTTGTTGAGTCAAAGCGGTTGTTAATACTTTGAGTTTTATATGTCCCAGTCAATATTCTGGACTTTATTATTCCTTTAGCAACATCTCGCTTGTTGTCTCTGACACTGCTCCAACATGTATTAGGTTATCGGAAGTTCCAGTTGCTTACTTCCATATGATTCAATGATGTTTTGGTTTCAGCTATCTCAGACCATTTTGTTTTCCAAGTTGAATTTATCATATCAGTTTTTTCCAGTTTTTCTTTGGGTTTAAGATTATCTCATGTGCAGATGGTAATTCATATGACTTGAGAATATTATCTACTTTTATATACCAACTGTTGGAGTTACCATCTTTTGTTTCTAATTGTCTTATTCCTATTTTATGCTCAATTGAATTTGTATCTTTTGAAATTCTAAGGAACAGAGAAATCATTGCTTTGTGGATAACTTGTTCTACGGATTCTGCCCCAAGCAAGATATAGATTGCAGCTTATGCTGTCCGTTGTGGTAGAGACAGTAGTTGTTTAAATGTCTTTTTCTGAAAGTTTTCTAGTTTTAAAATGTCCGTCTTGGTGAAGTTAAGAATTTCAATACCATATAGCATTCTGGGTATGACATATGTTCGCCAAAGTTTGTACGATATCAATGGATTTATTCCGTTTATTCCATGTAGACCTGCTCCCATGAGTGAGTACATAGTTGCTCTAGCATTAGAGATTCTCTTTACTACACTTGGGCTATTTCGGTCCTGTCTTTCAATACCCAGGTGCTCTATGTTCTGTTTTTCGCTTATCTTCTCGTTAAAAAGTTCAAGGTTAGGCTCTTTGTTCTTTTTATTGATCAACAGTATTTCAGTCTTTTTACTATTGATCTTAACTCGATCATTTTTGTACGCTTTTAATGATGCGGAGTTGAGCTAATGCATCCTGTTCCGATGTTCCACATAGCATAATATCATCTGCGCATGTTGGGCCACCCAAATAATTTGTTTCGATCTTAAAACCGATATTTGTTGCTTCGAGTGTATCTAGAATATTCTTATTGTAAGCTTTGTAAAATTTAGCAGATAAAATACCTCCCTTCTTTACTCCTCGTTAGTGAATGCTTCTGAGATACGTCCGTGAGATTTTACTTGGGTTGATGTATTATTATATATAGTTTTCTGATCAGTAGCCAGGTTGAACCTGTGATTCCTTGGTGATATAATTTCAACAAAAGATGTATGTGATCTACGACATCGAAGGTTTTTTCTGCATCTAGGGTGATTAAAATGAGCCTTTCATTCTTATCCTTTGCATCATTGATGGCTTCGGTAGTATAAAGAGCAATATTTATTGAGGAAACATCTTTTGTGAAACCTTTTTGTAGTCTATTTTGTTGTTTGTTTAAAGTGCCTTCAATCCTAGCTCTCAAACAGAGTTCTAAAACTTTACAAATGATCGAGATGACTGTTATTCCTCTATAATTTGATGGTATTGTTGGGTCCTTGTCTTTTTTATGGACTGGAGTTAGAAGTCCCTTTTTTATATCGTCAGGCACAAATTTTGTATAGAAGATATTATTAATAAGAGTTGTCAAGTAGTCAATTAAAGCTAAACCTCCGTATATAAGATGTTCAGATTTTAAATCGTCTACATCTCCAAATTTCCGTTTTTTTAGTTGTGAGACCAGTTGCTCATTGGAGGTATCTGGTTGAATGGTTATTTCTTCATTCTACATAATTTGACTATTGTTTCTGTATCTAAGTTGACCAAGTTGTCATGTTCTTTATTGAATAGATGATTCACCTTTGTTTTTGCTAAGTTTGCAAAATGTTCCTTAAATAGATCATGCATATCATTTGTCAGCACTTTGTTGTCTTTGTATTGATTTTACTGTACGTTTGGAATCAAGCCTATGTATGTTATATATAATATCTGTAGAATGAGGTGATCCTGCTTTTTTCAGAGGTAGAAGGCCTTTTTTGATTTACTGACCGCATAAGCCAACTTTGGTGACCAACTATTCTTTTTCTTCCTGCTAAACTTTGATTTCCTCCGAGAATAACATGTTTCTAGTGCATTGTTCAAACCAGTAAGTAATTGGTTTATAGCTTGATCAATTCCATAAGGTGTTCTCATGTGTAGATATTTTCTATCTTTTAGTTCTTCCTGCACTTTTAGTGCATAGTTATCTTTATTTACTTTTTCCCAGTTGATTTTGGTATAGGTATTTTCTCTGTACTGTTTCTGGTTAGTCCTTAGTTCTATACAAAGATCGGCAGACACAGGACAATGGTCAGAGGTGTTGTGACCTACACTTGGGATCTTGACCTGAATAAGTTCCCTTAGTCTTTTATGATTCTCAATAGAAGTCAATTTGTGATCTAGATTCTCCTTGAAAATATGTGTGATCAGTTGGGTATTTGACTGGAAGTTCTACTTGATTTTCTTTGCAAAACTGTTTAAACAGTTCATCTTGGGAGTCCTTGTAATGTCTAGTGAACGAGGCGTTAATGTCCCCCGCAATAACAATTGAGTGGGTTTCTTGGTCCTAAGGATAATTTCTTTTAGAGTGTCCAAGGATGCACTTTAAGTATCGTGTCCTTTGTCCGTACCTCTAGAAGGACGATATACATTAATAAGGCAGGTAGGATTTTCGCCTGTTGATATTTCAATAGCTTATATTCTGTTGTTTCCGTCTGGAAGTTGAGAAAACATTGAAAATATAAACTTTCTGTATAAGGTTGCAATACCACCGTGTCCTCTTGGTCTACCAATTTGGGACATTGGTTCATCATCCTCAATATGTCTAGAAAATGTAATAAAGTCTGAATGATGTTGTTTCAATAGTTCTTTTTCGTAGTTAAAGAGCCAGTGTTCTTGTAAGAGAATGATGTCATGTTTATCGAGCAGTTCATTGAGGTAATTTTTGTTAGAGTTGAAGCCTTTAATGTTGAAAGAGAGAATACGTAGTGGACTTGCTTTTCCCACGGTTACATCATTCTTTTCACAGGGGGCGCTATATCTGGATCTAGAAGAATGGTTTGTCCTTTGTCTAAAAAAGATTTTCCATTTTTAGAGCACTGTGAGTATGGTGATTTTGCTTTGGTTGAACTGTATTGGGACAGTTGTCTGATTGCTTTGTCTCCTTCATATGTTTAACAGCAAAACAGTTTTTACTATTAATAGCTGAGACTGAAGAATCAATTGATGAGTTGAACTTAGGATTTTGGTGAAGATTGTATGATACGCTGGAATCTGTAGAATGACGATCCTGTATAGAACCAATAGGTGTCTTCTCTATAACATTTTCTTCTCTGACAGCAATACTGTT